CCACATATCGGATGGCAGGACTTCCCTCCAGCTCCACATAAAGCAAGTCCTGCGTAGGACCATCAGTGTTCATGAATGCCTGCTGAAACTAATGGATATGATGGACTCTCAAATGTGAGCCAGACCTTGTTGTACCCGGAGTCTGCTGGCTTCTCCCTGCCAGGACTTGACAGTGTGCTGACCGCAGGTTCTGTGCCATGGCAGGAGCTAAGGATGCTGCCGCACAAATGTTTGCGATGAAGCTGCGGTCTCAAGGATCTGGCACATGGTCAGCAGCATCTGAGTGACCTGTATGCAAAATCCAAGAGCTGAACCATGTAGCAGTTTGCAAGGCAATTCTGCCAACACCGGCCTCTTCGGCAGACACGAGCTGCGGATCGTCTATGGCATTCCTTGCGACCAGCTCGCCCAGGGTTCGAACTGACGCCTTCATGCGCATAGCCAGGTCACTAGCTGCATAGGTGCAGTGGTGCGCAGACTCCTCGCCTGGGGGCTCATAAAGAAGCCACCTTGTCCTGCCTGACTTGCCAGCTGTGGCATCATCCCACGCAAAGCTCCTAGGGCCAGGACATGAAAACTTGTGGCTGCTGTGAGGAGCAGTGCTGCAGTGCTACAACAGTTCCATAACACGAGGGCCCGGCTCTTTTTCAAGCGTCCGCCACGGGCAATGACATCAAGCAGCAAGAGGGCCGCCTGAACAAGCAAGCTTGGGGCTTTCAATGCCAATAGCCTGAAGTACATGTGGAAAGCGTGTCAGAACCAACGGGCTAAGCAGGCAGACATCAAAAAGCGAAAGTGTGCACTCCGAGCAACCGCGCCATTGATGCTGGTACCATACGGCTGCTATTGCGGCTACCATTCATAGCACTTCGATCAGCATAATGCTGCTGCTGCTAGTGTTGGGGCAAAGCACTAGAGGAGAGGGGCACGAGGGATGTTCCACCAGAACATTCATTAGCAGCATGTGTGTACCAGTTGCCGTTGGAATGTAGTCTGCACTAAGCCCTAGTAAAAGCCAACATTCCGAAAGCGTAAGTTTAAGTCTTGTTATACTGTTGGCTTCTACTCCTCCTCCTCCGACTCCAGCCACTGCCGACGCGACCAGTTACTCGCAGCAACGACAACACTAGAAAAAGGAGGGACAATCCAAACGAGTTTTCTATCCGTGCCTGCTCCTGGGAGGCTGGCGACACCATTGGCGAGTCAGGTCCAGAGACGCAGTCGTCACTTGGCGAAGCCTGCAGAGCCTGCAGGCATTTTTGTGCTGCAGCTGAAAATGTAGCATCCGGGCACGCAGTGTCTGTGACTGTTTATGTTGAGCGCTTTTGACTGGTCACTCTCGCTCATGTGGCAGAATCTGCGGCGACAGCTCAGGTTTTCAGGACCTGCCTTGGACCAATGATCAACCCTACATCCATAGGAATTAAACCCCCCTAACTCCTGTAGACGTCTTACCCCTGACCCTTGAACCCGCAAATCCCAACCCTCAAAACCCTTAAAATCTACTTATTGGTGGATAGTAGGAAATAAGGGAATGCAACCCTTACACAATCCCTACAGAATGCATTCCCTTATCCCCTACTAACTCCAGTAAACAAGTAAACGTCTAAGCCTGCCTGAGACAGATAGAAGGCTGCTCGTTCCACGACCACACTGTGGGCCTGAACCTGAGAAGGTAGGTGGATCTTGTTTAGGGATTAGGGTTGGGGGTTTAGGGATTAGGGTTGGGAGTTTAGGGTTTAGGGTTGGGGGTTTGAAGTCTAAGGGTGGGGGTTTAGGGTTTAGGGCTGGTGGTCTAGTACCTCGTCGGCCCTTTTCCAGTTCCCAGCAAATTTTCTGGCGGGTGTTTAGGATTTCGGGTTTAGGGTTAGGGTTGGGGTTTTAGGGTTTAGGGTTCAGGGCTAACGGTTGTAAAACAATCAAGCAGAAAGAGGTATAGATGTGTATATGGGATTGTAATGGAGGACCAAGTGAAAAAGAAGATGGACAACCACATGGCAAGCTGGGTGTACAAAGGCCTGTAGTATAAGGTTTATAATGCAGGCTGTGAAAAGTAGGTCCTGTTTGGGGCCCTTAAATTTAGGGGCTGATATGATATGGGTACCTAAAGAGGTACCATAACTTGGACAACTACCAATATGTGGGAGATTCTCAAACTAGGGCTGGCTCATGGACCCCAGATACACCTACATATGCATACATGCATCAGCATTCACGGGTCCCCCCCCCAACCCCTCCCCATGGTCCATGGTATAAAGATGTATGAAATACGATTAATGCCTCCAGGACTCAAAGAAGGCCTTTCTAATCTTAAGAGATCCCTGGTTTGTGTAGGAGCTCAAGCCTCTAAACCCTAAACCCCTACACCCTAAACCTCTTAATCCCTGAAGCCTGCTATCCCTTAACCCCTACACCCACCCAAACCCTAAACCTAAACCCCTTAATCCCTGAACCCTTCTAACCCTAAACGCCGTGGGCCCTTCATTGAGGCGTCAGCCAACTCCAGGCTCTGCTGCCTACAATGCTCCTTCACAAGGAACAAACTTACTGGGGGTTAGTAGGGTTGGTAGGGAATATGGGGTTCATATGGGGATAACGGAAAAGAAAACGGAAAGTACTGGTATTATAATAGGGTATATATGGGAGTTTGGTAGGGAATATGGGAATATATCATCCAAGGGTTTTACAGGGAATATATTCCTTTTTTTCCCTACTAAGCACCAGTAAGCAAAGGTTGCAAGTCGACACCATGCGCTGTGAAAATGAGCATAGCCCATGAAGAGCTTCCTAAGACATCCTCTGAAAGCTTCTTAAGTTCCCCTGGGCATGGGAGCGATGGGGCCCTTAAATTGCTCAAGCAAAGCCCTCTGGATTAGTGAATCTCAAGCAGGGTGGCAATGCAATGCAGTCCCACAGGCCGTGCACCAAGGAGATCAGGCGCTCGCAGACATCCTTGTCGACCTGCAAGACATCTGGCACAGGCATCTCATCACCATCAAGGACTGGCATCATCTTGGTTCCACCGCTACTGGCCAATCTGCCGTTGTTCTTCAATAAATGGCTACGCGTTTCAGCAAGCAAGCCTAGAGAAGCCGAGTACAGGTTGTCAACACTCCCCAAGCGCCTCTCCGTGCTGAAAAGCGCTTGATGAATTGGAGGCAGCGATAATGACGAGCTGGAAGGGAAGACTATGTATCCGCGACCGGCACTAAAGCCTGACAAGCCTTTACTACCTTCGGCCCCGGAATAAGAAAGCGCCTGCCGGTAGCCTCTCAGCCCAGGCTGCCCAAAACTGTTTCAGGTAGGTCAATTGCTTTTAGTACCGACTTTAATGCATCGCCCAGTATTGTGGCATAAAAGCTTGGGACCCAAGATTTGGAAACTACCTATGTGGCGAGCAGGTACAAGCCTAGGGATGCGTGACCTTCCATCCTGAACCACCAGCCACCACAAATATGATTCCGAGTAGAGTGGTTCCGTATTGGGATAGTTTTTCCAATCATAACTTATCTTCCTGACTGGAATCGTTTAGCGAAAGCTAAGCACCCTATTCACCACTCTCCGACCCAGTAGAGACGAAAGCATTCGTCACGGGCTCCAGACTTCGGGTCCTAGAAGAGAGTCGCTGTTACAGGATGCTTCGCACAAGGTCGCCCAAAAGACGAACATGCTTTCTTACTTTTGGGTAACTATTAATTCTCAACTGGAAGTCCTTTGTGACCTTATTGCAAGGATCTCCAAAAGAAATCTTAAGCCTTTGCCCATGTACACAGCCAGCGCAGCTCTAGCCCTAAAGTCTACGCACCACATGCTACACTTAAGACAACAACTTGCCCGAAGCCCCGAACCACAGCACCACACCCTACACCCTGAACCCTGCATCCCGAACAAAGCGCCCAAAACTGTGTACCCAAAGCCCAATCCTCAAATCCTTGCCTTGCAGTTGCAGCCTCCAAGCAAAGCCCAGAAGCAGTGTGTCTCGGCTGCGAGCAACCTGATTGTCATTCTAGGTCTCGAAACTTGTTTTAAGGATTTGCTGACCACACTCGCCGATTTGCCAGTCTCCTGTAAGATTCCGCAGGACAGTTGGTGAGTGTAGCTATGATTTGTCCAGTCGCGAGGTGCATAAATAGAAATCCAACTTCATGGTGTGGGCCAGGCTGCCTTGTCATGCTGAGGTCTACGAGACGCTTCAGGCTTCATTGTCCTGATAATAACCCTTATCCAACCCCAATAACTCATATTCCCCTTAATATATGTAATGGTACTATATTGGGGGTATGCATTATTATGGGGTGGCAGAGGTTCATTCTTGAGGCTTAGGAAGCAGCGCCATTGTCTTCCCTTGTCGCTTTCCCTTCCCGCCAGCTTTCTGCCAGGAGCTGGCTGCTAGCTAATCGGGAATGATGGGATGATGTCAGCAGTAACTAGAGTAGTAACCACATTTGCAAAGAGTAGCATCCCCCTACTCCTGCACTCCCAACGAACCTACACCCTCCACCAGCTTCATGAAGGTCACAATGATGAAGCCCTACAGAACCACTTTCTCCTTATGGAGTGCCTGTTCTGTAGTCCCCATTTTGAAGCCATATGATAACCACACAAACCAAGTTGAAAGACGACTCCAAAAGTTGGGGTTTGGGTTTCTAGGCCTCTAGGCAATGGACCCTTGTTGGGATTACACAATGAATGAGCCAAACAGCTAGAGGGGAAGTCAGAGCTTCTGTCTGAACCTAGCGAGTGCCCTGATACCGGCTTCAAGAAGAGCAGCTTTGGTAGGACACATTGCAATCAACAGTCTAAATCCCAATAGGAAGCAAACAGAATGAGAAGAGTCTTCATTGTGACATTGCCCAGGCATGCCTGCAGCTTGTGCAGCCATGCAGGCTTTGTTTGGAGGGCTTCAGATCTTAATGTCCCAAACCTTAGCACGGTGCAAGCCTGACTGAGTTGCAAAGGTTAAGCTTTTGGTGAGACGACTTAAATGTCTCTTCCAGCATCTACGAATCTTCTGCAGCACTTTGGCTGTCCTGCATCCTCAAGCGCCTTTCATGTAGACGCCGGGTCAGGAAGGCGACGTCTGCCTCACTCATGTCGCCCAAGGCCTCTAAGAGTCGAATAGAAGCCTCCCCTCCAACTGAGGAATCTTGCTGTGCTGGACTGATCCGAACGCCCTGCGGCAAGTTCTCGCAGCACTGCCCGAGCCTGTGTAAGAAAACGTAGACATCAGTTCCAAATCCCTCCATCGATTTCAATACCACGTCACCTCCGTAGTACCGCGCATGCAGTCTGGCCAGCGGCAAGCCAACTCCAGCAGTCTGCAAAAGCTCTCTTGGCTCGTGAAAGTCAACCTGCGCATGTCGAGGCCGAGCAGAGTGGGAATGTGTTCCAGAGGTGTAGTAGCTCCACGCGGTTTGCACTTCGCTCCTGGGAAGTCCACCACCTTCATCTGAGACCTTGATGGACACCTCATCTCTCCCGTAGGCGAAAATTGCGCGGACCGGCGCCGGTCGTTCTCCATGGTTTGTCTTCCACATTCCTGATGGCACCGCGAACGGGAGAGTTGCTACTGCGGCTCGTCCAAGAGGTACGGATTGGTAAGATGGCAAGTTATCCCCATCTCCTGCTTTGAAGGCAGCATCTGCCACGGATATCAGGAGTTCTTGCTGTTCTTGCAACTGTCTGCGCTGCCAATTTGAAGCTACCGCACGGCAGGCATTACGTAACAGCTCGAAGCATATGAAGCGCACGTGGCTCGGCACATGCGTAAAGTGCCGGTTGTGCACTAAGTTCGGGCTGCTTCCCAACCCTCGGCCTGTCGCATAGGTACTTGCATGAGTCGACTGGGTGATGGGGATCTCAGCTCCATCACCAAAGACCTCCACATCTGGTGAGATGCCCAGTTCATCCTCGACGCTCTTGCGCGCTTCAGTCGCAGCACTGCGGAGGATCTCGCCTACGCCGACGTCACTGCGGATGATGCCCGAAGCTCCAGGAACCACCTGCGCTGCCTCGATGTGGTGCTGTATCAAGAAGCGAAGCCCGATGCGCTTGATGAAGAATCGGTCCATGATCAAGTCTACTTCAGGACGTACTTCTTCATAGGCACTGCCCAGGGCCGTCTTCACTTCATGAACGGCTGTCCCAAGAGATCGGGTGACATCTGCATTGTCCTGGAGAATCTGTTCCAACAACTGCGTGAAATCTTCATCATGCTTGGGTTCCTGGGGGACGGGAAAAGCTGACAGCCAATCCACGTAGCTGCTGAAGCACTCAACAACACGGCCGACACCCTCTGTCTGCGCAAGACCGAAAGGAAGGAGCAGAAGCTCCTTACACAACTGTGCATTTCGGATGGCAACCTCCTGATGAATGAGGCGGGCGAGATGCAAACGATCCTGCCCAGTTCCACGGCCCAATCGGTACAGCTCCTCAAGTGGAAACGCTCGACAACTTTTCCGGGAAAAGTCCTCAACCCGACGGCTCAAGGCAATGGCTGCCCGTGCCATGGCATGATCACACAGACACCAGGAAGACCGACAGTAGCAACAGATGTGGTATCGCAATAGTGCCCATATGTTAGAGGCAATGATTCTGACGATGGCAAGAAGTGCAAGGATAAGAGCAGCTGCCTGGCAAGTCTGGTCACTGCGTGACTGGAGGTGCTTGAATCTTAGGCTTGATGAAGTGGCAGCATGTGTTTTTTGCATCTTCGTAAATCAGAGCTGTTGGACAGTATGCATAGCTTGATCGTGGCGTCAGATGCCCAGATTCCCGTGCAAGCTCCTGGCCAAGTAGCCTTTTGGGGTCTAGCAACACGTTATATTGTGGAGATTAGGCGATTCTCAAAAAAAAAGGTTTGCACTAGGTAGGCATCTTACGGAACACTAGTGCTTTTCAGTGCTAACATTAGGGGACTATAGGCTAGTCGAAACTTGAATGTTTGAAGCAAGCAGCTCCTGTCACACAACGAAATGTAAGATATAAAGATGGTTTTGAGAAATATCCACATGAAGGTCCCTAAGTTTCCCTAAGCTCTAAACCCTAAACCCTAAAACCTGAAGACCCTAAAACCTAAAAACCCTCTAAAGCCCTGATCCGTAATTCTGAGAAGCTCTCAGAAAGGATCTCTTGGTGTCTTAGACAGCTTGCGTGGAGATCCCTACGGTGGATGGAGGACATCCGGAGCTACGTAAAACCTCCAAACTGCTGGCACTCATGGGATATACGGCAGTTTGGTTGGAATGAAGGGACCCCAATCTAGACCCAAGTCCCCCATTTTGGGAAACCCCCGTATTTGACATGAAGTGGCGTAAGGCGTAAGATGTCCTCCATGCATCCTAAACCTGAATCTGCCCTGGAACCCTCCCCCCAACATGCTTTAAACTGTGTACTGGGAGTCACAGCAGGCAGAAGTTAACAACTGTTTTCAAGACACCCCTAGAAATCCTACAGTCTGATCTAAGTCAGCACCCCTCTGGGCATCAGACCGTAAGTTTGGCTCGTTGCCGTCGCACATGAGAGCCGCCACCTGGGCACTCGGAAATCTTGTAATGTCAAGCCAGTCCTTTGAATGAAGGGTTTGAAGGTTTCAGCTCAGGCAGTTGATTGTTACAGTTTCAATATGTGTCATCTGCAGCCTAGTCGCAAAATCTTGTCCCTTTGCTATTCAGACCTCACCCTTACAACGATGAATCTCCTGGTCTTCTACTTGGAGACCTGATTGCATCTTTGATTCAGTTGTCCTCTCAGGACTAAGCAATAAGTTCTGAACAGTTTCTTCTTCGCAAGAGAAGAGGACTATATCAGGACTGCCATGGGGTTACAGTCCCTAATTCACTGCTCGGCACCAGCTAATGAAGCTCACGAGGCTCAGCGCCGAACGGATGCAGCTGCACAGGCACCTGCTGCCCGTGGCTTTGATGCATCTTGAGCGCAAAGCACCATCATGTCCACCTCCCTTGTAGGGCTTAGAGTGATACATAAAGTCTAGGAACTGGGGCTCAGGGTAGAGGGTTCATGTAATACCAGACCCTAGACTTAGCGGGCCTCTCGCAAACAAGCTTATGTCAAACTTGATCAAGATGCGCACATGGAAAAAAAACCTTCGTCAACAAGAAGTCTCTTTTTCACATCGAGCTTGAGTTCTGATGTGAGCCAGTCCTTTCTCAAGCCGCCCATCAAGAGGAAAAGAAGGCCTGTAGATTTGAGCAAAATCTAAACAGTTGCAACATGTTGCAACTGGCGTGGATCTACAAACGACATATCTTCAACAGGTTGATGGAGCTCCGGTTGAACCAAATACTACTGACACACAAGATACTTAGAAAACAATTCCGGTGCCTTCCAAGACCACTGGGACCCCACAAAATAAACAACATAACAGCGCAACACTCAAATCCCATATTGGAGTAGGGAACAGAGAAAACTTGCAAACTTGCAAGGAGAAGGCAGGAGTTGCGCAAACAAACAAAAATGGAGCTCCTTCATATGTCGAATCCAGGTTCATACAGTAGTATGCTCCAAACTTTTGTCACGTGCGTAGCTGTTCCTGGAAGTCAATTGAAGCTTGCTTTGGAGAAAGTACTGTCCAACTTAATGTGTGCCAGTTGATTAAAGTTGACAGGTAAAAACAGGTGATCGCGAAGATCAAGCTTCCCTCATTATGGGCTGCCAAAAATCTTGCAACATTTAGTCGGGTCAAGAAAACAAACTTAGCTACACCAAGCGATATCTCTTTACCTGTATTCATCACAAGATCAGGTGAGTTTATCTTTTTCTGGGACGTGCTTATGTAATTCATGTCTGCTAGCTGACGCAATAGTCAAACACAAGTGCACACTAAAGTGAGCGTGTTTCCATAGTGGCAAACAGGCCTGCTACTTCATGTAACAAGAGCTGAAATTATTATACCGCATGCGACCTCTGACTTACCTTAGAAGAGCCTGTTCAGAACTTGGAGCCAAGGCATTCCAAGAAGGATCCAGGAACTTGCTTTCAGGGTTCGGTTCATGGAGCACGCAGAATGTGGACCTGGTAGTTTGAAGAGGTCCACAAACTTGCCCTCCAAATTCGAGCGCCACTGCGCCTGCCACACAAAGCCCAGCGTCTGGAGGATGCATTACGGCCAAGACTCAAATTGCACCTCCCCATCATCATGTATGCTCCCCAACACTCTATTCAAGTATGGTGGCCATCATCGCTGATTTGATTCTTCCGTGCATTTCTGAATCTGAATCTCTCTGCTCCTGACCAATCAGCCCAGTAATAGAGAATTTCTTGACCTTCATGATCATGCGGCAGCTCGCCAAGCTTGGCGGCTTGAGGCTTCTGTTCTTCGAATGACAAGGCTGATCGGCTTAAGAAATCCTGTGCTGCCTGGATGATGTTGACCAAACATCTGAGAACGCCGTTGATTTGAAGCAATGCCTGCAGGCCAAGCCAAACGTCTCTTTCTGTGTAGGGTTTGGGATTTAGGATTTTGAAGTTTAGGGTGACAGGTACGCCCCCAATGGGATCCTCATGCTCAGCCTCCTACTATCAGAGGAGCAGCTTTTGGAGAACAGAACCTTTCAGTTTCCCCAAATTGGAGGACCCCAATATAGACGCTCCAATATTTTGCGACCTCCATTAGCTGCATGATGCCTGCAGAGACTCCAGGACTTCACTTTCCACCTCCTGCGCTTTGAGGAGGATGTACTCAAGCCTGGCTCGGGTTTCGGGTCTAGGCTTTAGGGTCGAGGGAGGCAATTGTGGGGAGGTGGCGCACGGGCATGAGCGAGCTGGTCTTAGTTTCCAAGTGCTCAACCTCTCATTGGGAGTAAAGAATACTTTGCAGATCACAGAATCCAAGAATATGGACTAGGCTAGAAGCCAGGAAGCCAAGACTTGATCGCCCCCCCTAAAACTTAAAGCCTAGATGTCGCCCTGTCCGAGAACTGGAATGCTGCATGCCCTGATGAGGGCATCAAAGGTCATGGTACTGGTTTTGGTTCCCTAAGCGCAAGGCGCCAAGGCATCTTAACAGTTTAGACATGAATGTTAATATTAATATTAATATTATTATTAATATAAATACTATTATAATTATTAATATTAATATAAATATTGTCGGCTATTCGTTCAGGTGGGCGGGGAGGCCTCTTTCGGAGTTCCCAGATGACCGACCCTACCTTACCTTTCTGGTACAGCACGTGGTATATCTCTACAGAAGCAAGGGGCATCACCAGGCATCTGATAGGCATTATCATCGTCAGAAGCAGCAACTTTTGTTGAATGGTTCCTGGCCTAGAATTATACCTTGTATCCCATCAACAATCCGGATATTTCTGGGGCTTTCAACTATACCCTAAATCCTATTAACAATCCCAGCTTATACTTGAGTGTAGTCCTTATTTGAGAGGTATCAGGCTTCTGGTGCTGAGCTTCGGGCTTGCTCAGGAGCTGCATGAGAGGCAAAGGCAATGCAAAGCTGCCTTCTGCTTCGGATGCCTGCACCACACGCTTCAGGATTAGGGTTTAGGGGGTTGGGAATCTCGTCAAAAGGGGTCAACGCTTTTGCTCTCAGAATACGAAGATTATTCTAGGTATCCCGCAAGCAGCTATCTGACAGATGAACTTCTGGTCATCATTATATATTGGGGATAATGGAAAAGAAAATGGAAACTACTATAATGGAGAATCAAATGGAAAAGAAAATGGAAAATGAAATGGAAACTAGGGAATATATTTGTAGGGGTATTTCTGTATGAAATCCTTGATATCTATGAGGTAGGAATAGTGCCCCTATAGACTTTTGAGTAGGGACCCCCCCTAACTGTCTGCTCAACCCTAGAAGTATAATAATCCCGAGTGTCCCAAGACCCACCCTCCCCTATGTAGCCGACGCCTTCAGGGACGAGACTTCCTTCTGAAGGTCCTGGACTTGCAGGCCGAAAGCCAATGAGACTTGAGGAGACTCCAAGCGGGCATTTCCCAAAAGTAGGGGTGCCATTTTTCGGGTCCCCATTTTGCGGATTGTAGTCTTATTGGGGTGTATAAGGGGAACCTCAATTTTGGAAAACTACCATGTAAAGTTTCTCTGACGAACTTGGCTGACAGCTGCCCGAAGCAATTGCCATCGACGCCATCGTGGATAACAACTCACATGACAAGGTACTGCAGCAGCGGTAGAAGACTGTAATACATGCAAGCATCACCAACCTGCTAGCTGCAAAATCACTACTCTCACAGAGCAGGGATCTGCTGTAATCAAGCACGCAGATACAGCATATATCATGACCAGTCATCATCACAAGCTGCTCCTGCCAACTGTCTAAAAGGCATGGGTCGGCATGGAAAAGCAAACTGCACTCGGTTGGCAGATCGAACCGCAGGCGCATTGGTGAGGTAAACGCTGCAACGGCTACAAGCAATCAAGTGGCTGCCAGGAGCACTAACGCAAAGTTTCTGTCATGGGAGTCACATGGTGATACCATATCTGCATGAATACCCAGAGGTCGTGCTTTAAAAGCTCGTCACCTTCTAGAATCCAGAACGCCCTCGAACAATGGCCTGCGCTGCCGGAAAGTCCCTTGGTCCTCGGAAATCATCGCCACAAACTCCATGAGCTTTCGGCCTTGAGGACTATCCATGCCAGCCTCTTGCCTGTCGCAAGAACAGGCTTTTTTGGTGGGATATGGGATTTCATGTTAGGGGGTTGAAAGAGAGTTTAAGGTTCAGCGGGCTTCTCGAAATTCTGGATCCTGCTTGGGGTGCCGATGTGGGGGATTCACTTTTGCAGCTACGGCTACGCAACGACACTCAAATCTTGGATCTGATGTAGAGCTGTCTTTGCCATGCCCCAACTTCCACTTAAGCCCACATAGAACTTGAGCACAATGTCCTTAATACTCAAGTTCCAGACGACATGCGAAAATTCTGTCAAATGTCCATCTAACTCGGATTTTCCTTGGAGCACCCTGACTCAAACAAATGGCCTCTCTCCTCGAGACTGTGACGGAGTCCCGCCTAGCCATTCATGCCAAAGCCACACATTCGAGCAACGATTTTTGGCTGCTGAGCCAAATGTGCTTCTTCCCATTCTATCATCCGTAGGATGCTCAAGGAAAGAAAGCGGTCATACTCCCCAGCTGGTTTCCTGGCGGTCTCTTACAACAACTGTTGCCACAAAGCGCATACAGATTTTGCCCATGTAGAGGTGCCTGTTTGTGAAAACAGGGGCATCCTTATGTCTAGCCGTCAGCCTCTCCTGAACTGCGGTAGCCCAAGCTCTGTCGTTATTTGAGGGTAAAATGGGGTTCCCCTTTTCCCACCAAATACATCCAAATAATGTAATCTTTACTTGTAGAAAACCAACCCGGGGGATAAAAAAAGAAAAACAAAAAAGAACAAAACACACACACACACACACACACACACACGCACGCACCCACACACCAACACACATAGCCCATGTTTCTATTCCAACATCGCCAGGGTCACGCCCGACGGATCGAAGTGCAAGACGTGTTGCTTCGGCCATGCGCTGGATTTCCTGGCTTCTTTGAAAGATCCTAGGGCTGTGGGTCTAAGGGCTCAGGGTTTGGGGTTTCAGGGTTCAAGGGCTTCTTTGAGTGGAGTCCTAAATCCGGGCATGTCCACGAATGGCGAGGAGTTCTCTTAGAGGGTATACAACTCTACACGGCGAGCTTCTGGCTCAAGTATGCGTAAGTTGTACAGTATGTCTTTCAGATCCATCCACTTGTTTGCATTGCAGCAAAAGCTTGTCTCGCCAGCTGGGCTTGCCTGCGCCACTGCTTGCTTCTTGTTAGCATGGAGTGAAAGATGGGGTCAAAAGTTAATATCTCTTTACTGACAACTTATTTCTTATGGAAACTCAAAAGGGATCGTTGTCAGGATATATTCCTTGATTACCTATGACTCACAAGAACAAAGCCGCACGCCACACAGCCACCTGGCAATGGGGGTAGTTGCGCCGCTCGTGGTGCAACAGCCGCATTGCCTGCAACATGTTTCAACTATCCAACGCTCTTCTGTCTCGGGCCTTAGCAGTAGTATGACCTGTAGATCGGTAACGCAACTCCACCAGCGAGGCTTCAGAGGGGAATTTCAGTCTTTCATCAGGCAGCTGCTTAGAGCACTCCAAGCCTTCGGTGAAATAAAGGCAGCCAAGAAGAAGGCAAGTATGAAGATCTAGCAAGCTTGCCAAACTTCGATACCTCCGAACATCTTGGGCCCGGGAGGGTAACAAATGCCGAGATGCTCAAACACCCTGATCCTCGAGCCAAGTGGTAGGTAGACTTTTCTGCGAGGCGGACCATCACCAAATATCAATATTGAAACATACCTCGATGTTTAAGTAAGCATGACAAAATGCCCCCCAACCACGCAAGCTTGAATGAATCAGCCTCGGACATGCGGTTCATCGCATGCAACGCGCGCCCCAGGCGCCTTTCAAGACATTGATTTGGACTTTGTACGACACACATCCTAGTATACCTGAGAACTACATCGAAGATTACGGGTAGCAACAACCAATCTCAACATAAAACATGTGTTTGCTGCAACAGCGCATGTGGCTTTGGTCACTATCCAGCTGCCAAACGCTCAGACCACAACAGTTTTCGCTGACACTGCTGAACGTACCTTTCAAGCGTCCTCCTGAGGCTCTGGCAGCACAGTCTTTTGATGAAGTGGACGCAGGCTTTCTGTGTCTCCTCAGGATTGATCTGGTTAGCCTCAAGCACCTTAGGGACATAAAGGTAGTCATACCGCTGAAAGATTGCACGGACGTCATTTTGGAGAAGCTGGTCTCCTAATATCCACACCTTCACATGCGATGAGCTGACTATGTCTCCTGTGGCTGTACCATGTGCCCGGATGTTCCTGAGAGCCTGCCACAGCGGAGACGAGGGCCGTGGATCACTTGTGTACTAGGGAGCACACCCAGCTAGTACTAGTACGACCAAAATTATGAGCAGCTTTCATTCCGATGTTCCACAACTACTACCTACTGGCGCTAAGTGGGGAATGAGGGCATGGACTCCTGTAGTAGTCAACATATCTAAATCCCAACAGCTGTCCCTACATGTCATCCTGCGTTGCCTATTTATTAACCACCATGAACACACTTGTAGGGACCACAAATATTCTGTAAGCCTTCTTCTGAGAAATACCCAAAATCCTGCAAAATGCGTGGATTGCTGCCATTGCTCAGGAGGCCTCGTCTGCATCATCGGCTGCGCCGCGAAAGTCCTCACCATCACAAAGGTCACATTTAGTGCCAGGGTTCAGGATGCCCTAGAAAGGGGATCTCGTATGACCCACAGCGTCCTTTCTCAACTTGTTGAGTTTACTTGTGTACAGGGTGGGCCCTCAATTTGAGAAGATGTGCGCTGCTATCACGCCTCTCATCTGGCAAATAAAAATGGCCAAAATAGGACTCTTGAGGACAGCGCTGGTTGCAGTGTTTATGTGGGAGGGCGTGCCAAGCAAGAATCTTCCTTTTCCTCGATGCTCATGCGGAACAAATGACAACGGGACCTGTGCAGCCCCGTTGCATCAATGAGAATTCCTGCGGTTTCAGAGGAACCCAAACACCAAACCCTGAATCTTAACTCAGAACTCTAAACCTGGCATGAGAATCTCCGTAGCATTCCTTGCCTGCAACCGCATGCGCGTCTCGGAGCGGTTCGACAGAAGCAGTGCATAGGACCTTTGCAACTCAGACTCAGGCTTCGGACAGGTGTATCTCATGATTCGCAAGTGTTCCCGAAAACAACTTTTAACAAAAGAAACAGCCAAGTGCTGAAAGAACCAAAGAAAACTCCAGCAAGTTTGTGCAACGCTCAGGAACTGGCTCCGCATTCTCCTGCTGCTCCATTCCTGCGACGTCCATGAATGGCCGCACTCTACAAACTCAGGTCTGCGCCCAAATTGTGGCTCCTGCCTAGCCTTCATCTATCAATACTTCATTATCCTGGGGGCTCGTTTCCAATGCGCCAGGAGCCCAATTATAAGACCCCAAAAAGACCTTTATCTTAGGGAGCCCCATATGCTTCCACCCTACTATTCCTCTTGATATTACGAAATTTGTACGTGCCAACTTGTCTGTATCGAACTGTCTGAGAGCCGCGCCACACTTCAGGGCCTCCACACATGCATTGAGCACACAAAGGGCGGACATGCGATCAACAGCCAGAAACTCTTGCAGCTGCAATGTCAGAGCCTTGAGTAAAATCTCATATGATCCCTGCCTTTCCTGAGTAGGTTCCTGTCTTGCCCTACAATACAACACCAATGTGACCCTATGTAACCCCATACAACCCATAAAAGGCCCCTAATTATAAGTTGTCGCCATCGCTGATGATTAAGCACTCCAAGCAGATGCGCCTGCGAGTACCAGGACTCCGCGTCCTGCCACTTGCGCTGGCCAAAAGCACGATTGCCCCGGTCCTGCCAGGAACAGCCCGTACCTTGACAACCTTTCAGTGGCTTGATTGAGGCACTCTGTTCATGATTGCATAGCAGCAGCTTAAAAAAAAGGCTTAAGACAAATTGATTCCAATCTTTCCCTTCTAAAGCCCTGTAGAAGTATGTAGAAGGTGCTAGCTTGCGAGTGATTCACTTACACCGACAACCACAGCCCTACCTAGACTTTGATCCAACAACCCTGACACATCCCACAAGGAACTATGCTGGAGTTAAGTCCCCAGGATCCTAATTCCTCAACCTTAGTTTTTGAGTTTATACAGACTCAAGATGGTCGCAGGTCCTTGAACGTCCGGGCTGCTTCTACCTGCCAGTTAGGCTTCGGGTATAGGGTGTAGAGCCAGTTTTGCAGGGCTTGCTAAAGGGCCGAGCGCGCCCGAAAAGCAACAAGATCTCTGCCCGGAAGTCTGAAGGCTACTAGCCTTATGCCTTTGGTTCTCCTCTGGGTTAGGAAGCCATCACCCCCTCTAGATGTCTCTGCTAGTTCTACCTGCGAGTAACTAAGAACTGAGATTTTTTGCCTCCCTCAGAGAAGCAGGGATGGGAACAGTGGGAGATCATGGAAAGTACTTAGGTTTTTGGCTTTGATTACGAGGAGGTTTCAGGACGGCCTGCAACTACAAAGTCACCAAACATGTGCACGAGGGACAACAAATCTTGAACTGTACAGTACCCTGTCTGCCCCAGCCCTCCCAACAAAAAATGCAACTTTAGCTGTTGTTGGGGCTTATGATAAGCAACTCTTTTTCTAATATGGTCAGAACATCCCGAGTTTGATGGTGATTGCAAGCACTTTATTTTGGGCTCCTTGAGTTTGCCAGAGCCCAGGGCTTAGGACCAACAACCTTATGAACCCTGTAAGTCGTGCAAACCTCATCAACCCTAGAAAATCCAGAAATCCCTGTTGACTTGAGACCCCACAGGGAAGGCTTCTCAAGATGCTCCTTAAGAAGGACCCCGGAGGTTTCCAAGTCGTTTAGGGTTTAGGGTTTACGTGAAGGTGTCCCAGAAACAAGGTTGTGTACTCTAGGTTGGTATCCCGAAAAAGGCCATCCCTAGGGTCCCGCAGCTTGCTACGATACAGTACACCCTTGATCTTAATGCCTTTAAACCCCTAGATAATCCAAGTTTCCATTTCACTCTGCATTTTCTGTTAGCATTCGTCTCTCCATTATTCACCCATAAAACCCAATATATCCCTGTTTGTTCAAAAGCCTGGCAGCCCATGCCTTCGTGTAGTATCGGATGACCGGGGCGGGATCAGGAGCCGTGAATGCCTGCAGCTTGCTCGGAACACCGTTGCATCCTACTCCCTGTAACACAAGTGTAGCAGAATCATAGCAATAGTAAGCCCTTGTGAAGTGATGGTAGTGCTGGCAAATGACAACGCTAGCACTGGTACTCAGAATGTTCATAGATGCGGCATTTTTCTGATCACCACATAGCTAGTCAGATCTAGCGGATTTACAAGCACAATGTGAGTGACAGAGGCAATGCTTGCAATGCTGGCAATCAGAATGCAAGGACCAGTTGCTGTTCATTCTTGGTATAAAATCTAGTGGCTGAAGTAGGAGTAGCAGTACGGTAGTAGGAGGAGCAACAGTAAGGGACGACAGCTAGTATACACAATGACCGCCCCATGAGAATCAGGCGACAACAAAACATCACGTTTGTGACAAACAAATAGCTAAGTGTTTATTTCAAACCCAGTTTCTGGATACTTGCAACACATGTCTGGGTGTCCTCTATACTTCATCCCGTTGACCCAAGGATACAGAAACCTGTCCCCCGAAAAGAAAGGGTCTCTGTAGGAAAGATCTCTGAATAGGATCTAGCACATCCTTAACCCCAAGCCCTCTAACCCAAGTTTCTAATTCGTGTCTATCCGATTCTTTATTGTTAGCCCATAAAACCCTACAAATCCCTACACACCCCTACATTTCCCATTCAAACGAACCCCACATGCGCCATTGTCTAAACTCCTAGCATCCCCCTTAATAGCCCCTATAATCGTCCCCTAAAAAATCCCCTATATAACCCCAGTTGAGGAGTTTAGATTATAGCTCATGGAAATCCAGTATAACCCTCAACTCGGCCTGCCAACCCAGGGTTGGAGCAGAGAGATCATCGCTCTTCACCCCGTAGAGTGGCCGCCGGTCCGATAGGCTCCCGATTACCCAACTGAAGGCATCCTCGAAGGGTCGAGTGCTGACACAGGAATCTTAATCAACATGATATAAATAAATGAATATATATATATATACATACAGATATATATATATATACAACTATAAGTCATAAGACTAAGCAGGAACTCCATAATCTTGGCTTCAAATATATGCACCCATTCCAGTATTTCAGCCAGGAAGAAATCAAGGACAGCCAGCCGCACTGCGATCCTCAGCTGATCCATGGGCTTCCCGGCTCAGACCCAAGCCATTCCTTAGGCAAACACGGAATTGCTATGTGCTTGCACTCTGACTTTGGGGGCCTAAGCCAGAAGAAGATAGTTTCGAAGTCATTTAAGGTAGCACTAAGTTATGTAAGGACTACAGGGCCATATGGTGGCCCCAGTATTCTCTGGTGCCTGGATGTTTCTGCGCTGACAAAATAAGGACCCCACTGGTTCCTGTACAGCGGAACGCCGTTGCGCTCGTCGCCAGTAGGGAAGTACTCACCAATGGCTTCAGGATCTCCAGCCTCCTTCACCCAGTAGTGGTGCATGACCTTACCAGTGGGGTTTGACCTTACCATAGGGTCCCCACACATTTTTTTCACTAACTTGCAGAAACTTGCAGAACAGAAGTGATCATGGTAAGCGGCAATAGCTATACCTCGAGGAAACAGTCGGGCGGGGTAAGGAAGGTGCAACATTGAGAACAACGCTTTCAGTACTTATCGATGAACTGACTGTTGGTGCCCTAGACCCTGCACCCAATACCCCAAACCCTTGCTTGAGCTCAATGGCTGCCACTACAGCTCCCGCCGCAGCAGTTGTGGTGGTGGCGGCGGTGGTGGCGGCGGTGGGTGGCGGCGGTGGTGGCGGCGGTGGTGGCGGTAGCGGCAGCACTAGCAATAACAATAATCATGCTTTGCCTCTCCAAAGGAGTACTGGGAACAATAGTTGTCGTGCAGCATCACAACCACAGCTACCACTAGTAGTGGCACCCTTCTTGTCTTTTTCTTCCCGCGATTTTACTACGATTACTGCACCTGTTGTCGAATGCACGATGCCGCTAGTATGACCGACAGTAGCTTAAGCAAGTGCAACATCTTTCTCCTGTGACTTCAAATTTCATGGTCTACGACAGGTGCAGGGCAGAGCGACCTTAGAGAAGCCTTGGCTGCCCTAGCTTTATGTGCGTATGTATGTATATATATATACATATCTATCCCTACTCCACCCCCCGGGGGGCCTTGTATACCTTTTGCCTCCCCTAAACAGCGCCTGGACTGGGAGCAGGGCCGTGTCAGCAGGCCTACGCTTTTCATAGGCCTCCACTGCCATCTTGATCTTCAGCTCTTGAAGCCTGCTTGCCATTTCTTGTTCGCAGGGTTGAGGCATAGCCGCTCGCAAGTCGCAGTCTAGAACAGAAGGCAGGCAAGGCGGTGCCTGTCCACTTGCTTCTGCCGGCCAGCCTCCTGCATCAGTGGTGTTTTGGCTTGGCGCAGGCATCCATACTCTAGCCAGCCTTCGCATAGACGTCGTCCATCGTGATAGTGGGTTCTTTTGCCACCTCGCGCTCATATCGCTGAACTTCATCCTGCATGGATTTATGTTCACCATTTGCAGGAGTAGCATCTCCACCAAACAAGCCGTCAAACAATGTACCACGACTGCAGCTGCAACTGCCGCGGCTGGTCTGTCCTCCTCTTCAGCAGCCTCCACATCAGATCCCATTCCAGGCATGTCAACAGTCAGTCACATTCTTCCTATTGCGCGCCACATGAACATGCAACAGCAGAAGAGGCGGGGGGGTTCTTGTTGGCAGGAGGTGACGGCTCATCTGCTGCTGTTCCGCCTCCTCTTGCGCTATCCTCTTCCACTTCGAGTAATCAATCGAGTAGCCTGCGCACGCCGACATCAAACATGCTGACGATTTGTGGTCTATCGTCTTTGCAAATGTCATACGTCGGTAGTCCCTCGCACTTTTTTGTGGTCCTCATACTGTTTTGGTGTCTTCTTAAGGTGTTGGAGTACTACCGCTATGTTACTGCAACGATAATCTTTTTGGTGCCATCTCCAGGCTTCCACTCTCTCTCTCTCTCTCTGAACTACTACATGGACACATGCGCGATGGGGCCTGCAAGCTGGGGCATGCAAGCAAGGCTTTGAATGTGCTATAGTCTAAACTCCTAGTATCCCCCTTCATGAGCCCGACAATACTCCCCAAAATCCTGTATACATCGCCAGGAATATAGTTTCGACCTA